CGCCTTGAACACCTCACTGAAACGTCAAAAAGTCACAGATATTTCTCGAATAGCTATCAGCGTTTCCTAGGTAACCCTATTTCGAGATTCGCTTAAGCGCATACCCAAATGTGCCTTGGCCGATCTTCAGCAATTTCTCATAGTTCGTGACATCGTTCAAAAACGGCGATCGAAAATTTTGTATATAATTCAGCAGTTCCGGCGTTACCTGAAATCATGCGCTTATATAACACCGTGACCTACATCTCTCCCTATTCTTTCCAATTCTACATGGTGATCAGAACATAAAATGGAGGAAATTGCGAATATGAATGAATCAGTGGTTTCAAGCACTTTTTGCTTTAGACACATCGGAGCCTCATTCAACCAGGCGCTTTTTTGACTATTTAGCTACGAGTTAAAGAAATTTACTAATGAGCCCATCTTCTCGCATTGATAACACCCTATCTGTGCACATAGTAGGTGACAAAATACAGGCACAACTATCAATTTAAAATATGTTTTACGCCCCAAGCCGTCACCTTATATGCCAGGATTCCCCTTCTTATCCATCTGTTTATTTCATCGCTCTTCTGCTCTGCTCCTCTCTCCAACCTTGTTTTAGCTGCCTCCTACTTTAGCCCTGTGATAAGCTGGCTGCTAAAACTATGGGTTTTTTCCCTGGCATCCTTAGATCTAATGTCAAATCAAAATGAAATAAATAACGGTGCCTACTAGTGAGCCAGAGCAATCATGTTTTTTTGCGATAAGCTGTTACGAATTCGCAGCATGCGAATGCTGCGAAACATGCTGAACTGGGTTTTATCTCGTCACAGCAATATTTGTTCCGACAAACGCATGAATGTGCTATAATCCAGGTTCCAAATTTAACTTGCCTAGGAATTAAAATGCTAGCGTGTATTTGAAGCCTTCTTAAGCATCAGGAAAAGCCAAAGCGAGGTACCAATTTCGACAGCTTTAAGCGTACTAGGATTTGTTAGTTCCTGGTAGATACCGTACTGTGGACGAATATAAGT